ATTAGAATAAATAAATTAATATTTATTAATATTTACTTAGCTATATTATTAGTAAGATTTTTTAATCTTAAAATAATACCTTTAAAAGAGCTAATAAGGATAAAAGAATATAATAAAAAGAGATAAAATAAAATCTTTTATATACTTAAGTTAATATTAATTATTAATAAAAGATATTATATTAAAATATTATTTCTAATCCTTAATATTAGAATATATAATATAATATTAAGCAGGATATAATTTACTAAATATAATATCTTAATAGATTACTAGAACTAATAATTAATTTAGCCTAAAAATATCTTTTTAAAAAATTAAGACTAGAAAGACTAATTACTACATAATTCCTAAAACCATTTTACAATAACTAAGAAATATTAATCTATAATATTAAAAAGATATAATATGCTATAATTATCTTATAAAAATAAAAAACTAAATAATAAAAAAATCTAATCTAAACCGCTCCTAGACCTAAAGCCTAAAAATAAAGAATTTTATTAATTAATTAAAAGTCTTAAAATTTAACTCTCTGTATATAAGAAAATCAGTTAATTAATTAAAAAAGAAAAAAGTCTAATTAGATATCTTTTTATCTCTATTTAAAAAGACTATTCTAATTATATAGGGCTATATATATTAATAAAATTATTAGAAATTATTTAAAAAAATAAAAAAAGTCTTAACTAAAGCTCTAAAAAAAAAATAAAGAATAAATTAAAAAAAAAATTCCTAGATATAAAGTAAGAATAAGCATATTAAAAGAAAGCTTAAAAAATATTAAAAAGAATAAATATAATACTTATTAGTATAATAAAATTTAATATAAATATTAGAATAAAAAATTTAATTTTATTAATAATAAATCTCTATAAGATTAATAATATTATTAAAATAAAGAAGGATCTACTGGAACTTATAGCACTTAATATTAAAGAAATCTAAAAATAATTACTAGAAATATATAGGAACTATATAGATATATTCTTAAAGAATCTATTAGATTAATTACTAATTTCTAAATCTTATAATTATAAGATTAAATTAACTAGAAAGAATATATTAAAATATAGCTCTCTCTATAAGATAATCTTAAAAGAATTAAAAATAGTACATAAATATATTCTTAATAATCTTTATAAAGAATTTATTAAACTAAGTAATATCTCTTTTATATTACTAATCTTAATAATCAATAAATCTAGAGAGGAAATATAATTCTATATTAACTACTAAAAATTAAATACTATAATTAAGAAAGACTAATATTCTCTATCTTTAATTAATAAGATTCTTAATTAAATTAGTAAAGTATAAGTTTTTATTAAATTAGACATTTAATAAGATTTTTATTAAATAAGAATATATCCTAACTTAGAAGATTTAATCATCTTCCACATATAATATAGTATATATAAATATAAAGTAATACTTTTCAAAATAATAAATAAACTAGCAACATTTTAATGCATAATTAATAATATCTTTATAAATATACTTAATAGATTTATAATAGCCTTTATAGATAATTTATTAATTTATAATAAAAATAAACTTAAGTATTAAATATATATTAAAGAGATATTTTAATACCTTTAAAAGATAAGATTATAAATAGCACTCTATAAGTATAAATTCTATATTAAGTGAATCAAGTTTCTTAGATTTATTATTATATTAAATAGTATTAAAGTTAATCTTAAAAAGATTAAAGCTATTTAAAGATAAAAGTCTCTAATAAATATAAAAAAAGTATAATTATTTTTAGAATTTTATAATTTCTATTATATTTTTATTAAATACTATAATAAAATATTATAACTATTTAATTAACTAATTTAAAAAGAAACATCCTTTATATAGAGTAATATTTATAAAGTAATATTTTAAGAATTTAAAAAAAAATTAATATTAATTCTAATTTTTAAGTATTATTAATATAATTTAGAAATATAATTAAAAATTAATATCTTAAGAAAAGTTATTATAGCAGTATTATTTTAATAATATATTAATAATAAATAGTATTTAATAATCTATTTTTCTAAAATAATAGACTCTACATAAACTAAATATAATATTTATAATTAAGAAATATTAATAATAATATAAGCCTTGAAGATATAATAAGCTAAGTTTTAAAAATTAACTAGAAATAAATCTATCTAAATTTTTACTAATTACTAAGTCTTAAAATATTTTATAATAATAAAGAAGCTTAATAATAAATAAATATAATAGTTATAAATCTTTTTTAAATATAATTTTTATATTAAATATTAATCTAAACCCTTAAATAAAAGAGCTAATATTTTAATTTAATATATAAAGAATAATTAATAATCTAAAGAAAAAAACCCTTCACTATTATTCTTTAGCTAACTTAACTCTTAGATTATAAAGAAACTCTAAGAATAAGATTATATATAGAAAGCAGAATCTAAGTTAGAAATCTTAGTTATTATAGATAATATACTATATATTATTACTAGAATTTTAAAGAGTAATTAAGAGAGTTAAAAGATTATAGAATATTATAAGATAGCTAAAGATCCTAGATCTAATTAAGATTTAATTAATAGTTAATTAATATTTAAAGGGAGATTTTATATATTAAATAAGAAAAATTTTAAAGTATAATTATTAAATAAAATATATTAATAATCTATTACTGCTTATCCTAGAAAAAATAAAATAAAAAAGCTATTAAGAGAATAATATTACTAAAAGATATAGAATTAAGATGTTAAGTAGTATATTAATAACTATCTTATATATAAGAGGATAAATATATATAAAGACTTATTATTAAGATTGCTGAAGCTACTACCTATATTTATTTAACTATAATAGCATATATTAATAGACTTTATAACTTATCTAAAAAATAAACATGATTTTAATACAATCTTTATAGTAATAAACTAATTAAGTAAAAGACTAAGATTAATTCCCTATACTAAGAATATCATAATTAGAAAGTGTCAGAGAATCAGAACGTCACAGCCAATGGATCAGGTTAGTCACTACAGGACTAATGCACATCGGAACAAAGGATTACCCGCGAAGCCTTAGGATTAGAGCAATAGAGCCAGCAGAGCTGTTGCTATGTTGACTATACTGGTCAGAATAGAGCAGATAGAGTTATTATTATATTAGCTATAGTGGAGGAAAATTATATAAAGATATTTATTTATTATATATTTAGTTTTCTTCTATTGTTTTAAATTAATTATAATAATTTAAGTATATAATCTTCTATTAATTAGGATATTTATAGCCTTATTCTTATTTCTTTTATCTACTGAGATCTTTCGACCTTAGAAGCCTATTAACTTCGCCTGTTAATAGCTATCCTAGCTATACTCGATGGTAAGATAACTGAAGTTTCCGACAAGTACTATATTTAATAGTAAGGCTATAATAATAATATAATATAATACCTAATAGGAAATTTTAAAAATATATTAAATATTATAAAAATATTCTATAATTCTTATCTAGAAAAACCTAGACTATTATTATATTTAAAGAATTAATTATATATAACTAAGAAGAATAAATTCTTATTTAATTATAATAAAAATAATATACTATCATTAACTTAATATTTAAAGCAAATATTACTTAAAATAAAAAATAATATAATAATCTAGTGTAATTTAACTTAACAATATATAATTACTATAAAAATATCTATAAGCTATCTTCTATAGATAAATTATATATAAAAAAAATATAGAGCTAGATATATCTTATAGAGATTACTCTATATTTTAATTTATATTATAGATTACTAAAAGATTTATATAATATTAAGAAAGATAAATGGTCTTTACTAGCTAGTATTTTATATTATTAGAATCTTTTAGAAATCTAGATTACTAAATACTAGCATACAATAAAGATAGCCTATAAATATCTAGAATAGAAGAAAGTATAAGTAGGAGAAAGAAAGCTAGTAGTTATTTTTTCCTCTTCTTCTCTCCAGTTTAGTCTCTTCGTGTTTAGCAATCAAATAGATTTGGCATTGCATCGTCACAAATTGGCTCTAATAGCTATAATAACTCTAATTCTAATATATTCTAGCTCTTTTGTATAATATCTTTAAATAATCTTTTATTTCTATATATTAATATTCCTTATCTATTAGCTATAATATTCTAATTCTTTAATAATTCTTTTCTCTAAAAACTAGCATTCTAATAGCTTAATAAATAGCTTATATTTTCTGATGATTTTGTTCATATTGCCAGAGACACACTAACAAAGGCGGAAGCCCAGTGACATTAATAAACAAACACAAAATCGGTTGATTTTCGCATGACCCAGGCGTGAGGCTCTTACCTCCAATCTACCGCTATCACATAGAGTTTAAGCTTCGATATTGTTGGTATTGGAACGTCTCTTGTTTCTTTTAAATAGCTTGATCTGGAACAAGGAATCACAAAAAAAGAAAAAAACAATGTTTCTAGCTCTAGGTAAACCTCGCAGAATCGCTATATTGTTCTATTTTACAGTGCATATTACTGTATAACCGTTTTCGGATAGCTAAGCTTGCCAACGCGTCCGCCGTCAAGGTCTCCATCTCCCGTGTTATCCCCTTTTCATATCTTAGATACTATCAAGGACATGGGCATACTACATAGTATGGCGCTCCGAATCAAATCTGTACGGAGTACTCGCTACGCAGCCGGCGTTATCGATCGGAGTATATAAAATAAAAGCCAGGTTCGTAAGAAACCTCGATGGCGGCCGATGCATACAAATTTAAATTTTAAAAATCCAAATGTCGCCCAATCCGTCCTCCGTATAGGTTTATTTCAGTAACTAATAAAGTTAATCAAATGATCCCCTTCCTTGCCAGAGTTCTTGAGTCCATAAGTACGGAGTACATACAGGGTTAGGAATGTACGTGGGAATAAAGTGCTACTGCTTGCTACCTTTAGTACATTCTGATCGACAGACACAGCCACAAACACAGAACTTCATGAGTATTAACAAACCGCCCTTCTCACTTTCTCTTTCATTGATTCGCTAAGGGGCCCGCAGGGGTAATAGCTGTCGGTACTCTTATACCCTTCTGCCCAATTTGCGTAGGCCGTGTCAACGTCGCACACTGGTATGTTTACGACACCCGGTGCCCTCACGCCATACTCCCATAAGTCACTCCAGCCTGTGGTGGTCATCGGGTCGAGAGTGTCCCATCCGTTCGCATTGCCGTTAGCCTCATAGCCGTTCAGTGCTCTAGAAGAGTTGTCAGCTTTTCCTTTTGAAAATACCAAGATTCTTTTTTATCTCCCGCAGAACATACCCGACAATAAAGTCTGCCTTTGTGAGGTTCCCCCAAACTCCATCGGATCCATTCAGAGCCGTGAGACCTGGAGGCATCTCGAGTGGCCAGTCGCCGCAACTTAGGCCGCAGGTAGGTGGCGTCGGGCAACTAGCCTTTTCTCCAGTGACGACGAGGAGATAATACAGCTTGTCATTGTGACAATAATATGTATCCTCGGCTTCTGTGTCTGAGGACATCCATACAGCCATGAGGTCGATATCCGAGCAGTCACTGCCCGCATCCAAAATAAAAGGATATCTTGGCGAGCTGCTCAGTGACCACGCGTACGGAATGAGAGAGGAGTACATAGACGCTTCGATGTAGGTCTGGATTTGCAAGTCGGTAGGAGTACTGTTTGTCGGCTCCATCATCCGGCCCTCCTGTATTAGTCCCCACAGTGTGTCGATGCTGCTATCAGACCCGTTGAAAACAGCGCTGTTCACGGCCGTGATGGACTCATAGTAGATTTCTACTATATTGCCTAGAGCGGTTTCCAGGTCATTCTTTACGTTTAGGGCATAGTCCCCACTAGCATCTAATCAGCATACACCTTTTGCACAAAGAAAGATACAGCTCTACACACCTGGTGGCTTCATCTTTGGAGATGGTGATTCCGCTCGAAACAATGGGGTTGACGCTGTCTTTCAAGACGCCCAGCGTGTCTTTATTCTCGACGAAATACGCAAATCCTTTGAGATCTATGTTACCAGTAGTTAGTGGAACGTTCCGCGGATGGGCATAGAGATGGTACTGACATTCGTTCCAGATTGGCGCTGCCATTAAAGAGTAGCTCAAACCGAGAATATCCAAGAGGAGCTTGTCCATTTCTGTCTCGGACGAAATTTTCACGAACGTGTCCTGGAACATCCCGATATTGTCTGTTATCGGTCCCACCACGCGCCCAATAGCGTCATAAATGTTTTGGTTTATCTCGTATACTTCCTCAAGCGAGTTGAGAATGAAATACCCGGCCGGGTGATCGACATCCTTGCATTCAACCGTTGTCTCGCATCCGTTGTGATCGGAAGTGGTGCCGCAGTCCATTCCCTCGGGTCCGTTAAAGAAGTTGCTAACCTGTTCACTGAAGGTGAGGTTTGCAGGGAACGGATCGGCCGTCCAGTTGGCGACGGCAGCATTCCATGCTTCAATGGTATCAACGTCGTTCCATCTGGTCGTCTGGTTCTGCGCTGCATTGACAACGCCGGCATTTTCGCAGTCGACCAGCTCCCAAAGAGGCGTTTGAGTGAAGGTCGTTCCACTGAGGGACAATACCTCAACCTCGATGCATGAATATGGCGAAGTATCGTAGGAACAGGCAGCGTCAGGGCAGTAGCCACGGTTGCACGTGTAGCTGCAGAGGTCGTAGTAGCTGCAGTTAAGCCCTGATGCCGGGTAGCCGAACAGACCCTCTGTCGCAGGGGCCGTCACCTGCGTGCCATACTGGTTGCAGGTACAGGGCTCGGGGCAGTAGCCATAGTGACAGGAGTAGCTGCAGAGACCAGCGAAGTTACCAGGCCCTGTTCCTGACACACAGACTGTTCCGCTGGCGCTTGCGGTGGGTGCAAGGGCCGTGGTCGTGTCGGTGGCGGTGGCCGCCATGCAGGCGCCTTCAGGGCAATAGCCGTGACTGCACGCGAAGCTGCAGATTCCAGCGTATGTGGCCGATGCCTCGCCAACAACGGGCATGCCTGTAATGGCGAGTGTTGTTGTTGGTGTCACCAGGGGGCCCTCAGCGGTGCAAGTACATGCTACGAGCGGACAGTAACCATATCCGCACGCAAATGCGCACAGCCCTTTGAGATTGCCTTCGCCATCTCCTCCGACACATGCTGGATTGTCAAAGTCCGATACGGTTGGCGTGCTGAGCGGAGCAGACGTGGTGCCGCACGCCCCAGTAGGGCAGTAGCCATACGTACAGTCGAAAGCACAGAGTCCCTCGTAGCTCGCGTCTTCGCCAGAGAGGGGGTAGCCACTTACGTCGGTTGCGTTGGGCAGGGTCTTCTGGGCGCCCATCATGGTGCAGGTGCATGCACTTATGGGACAGTATCCCAGCTCGCAGGCAAATTCACAGAGACCCTCAAAGTTGTTCGCGCCCGTGCCATTGATACAGACGCTCTCCGACAATGTCAATGTTGGCGTGGCGGATATGGCAGGGCCGTCAGCGCTGCCAACCCATGCGTTCCAGTTTTCAATGTCGTCGGTACAGTCCGTCGTGATAGACTCGCCCGTCATCGTGGCCACAGTACTACCGGACCTGGTCAATGTCACGATCACCTCGCCCGTATTTCCGTCGAAGGGTGCTTTTCCGTGGTAGATGCCAATGCCACCGTCTGGTATAGCGGCCCACGATGCTGCCACCGACACGCCGCCGATTGTGACAGAGATGTCAGCATCCGATGCGAGTAGCGCATCAAAGTAGACCGTATCATCGACAATATCGTACGGCTCAAACTCAAGCTGAAGCTCGCTAGCGGTGTTGCCCGAAGTCCCTCCAGTGCCGCACGCAGTCTTGGGGTTGAGACGATACCATACAACAAGGCCTTCCTCCGTGATAGTAGCAATGCTGTTCTTGTAGGTGTCGATTAGATAAGGCAAGAACTTGCGCCATCCATCATGGGGCATATTAGCTGCGTAGTTATAGGGACCCTCTCCGATAGTGAACAACTCTTCATAGGCGAAGTCGTATAGGGGGCCGATATAGTGAGACTCGCCATAGTCGTTCCAAGTGAGAATCTCCACAAATTCCGGAGCGACATACCAGACTTCTTGCCAACGGTCGTACCAAAGATTGTCCCCGCGCCACAACCAATTTTTCGAGTAGCCAGGGAGATTGGTGAAGAACCATGGCGAGACAGGCATCATATAAGGAAGTCCGTCAAGGTACCTAGAGACCTTTTCAGTACGCACCCAGAAGCTCAATAGAGATTCATGCACTTACTGTTCATACGAGGCGTCGGTATACGTGGTCATGTCTTGGTCCCCCCATGGCCACGCAGCCCAACTAAACAGTCCATCAGCAGTCCCAAGCTCCATGGCAGCTTTAGCGCCTAATGAAGACCAATCCGGCATGAAGAAACAACCCGTTTCAGACTTGATGGTGGTCCAATCTTCAGAGTTTCCTGGGCCCTCAAAGGTTGAAACAAAGGGCTGTCCGTTGTATTGGTAATAGGCAGAGCTCGACGAGTATTTCGAAATCAAAGAAATGACATCGGCCTTGTCCCAAGCGCCATTAGCGTCATAGTCAAAGGAGAAGAAGAGGGAGAAGCCCAGGCTTTCGGCAGCCTCGAATGCCAATGGCAAAGCGATGTCGTTGGAAGAATCGCCAGATCCCATATTAAGCGCAAAGGCGTCAATGTGAGCATCCTGCGCCAGACCAATGTCTGTTTCCCAAGTGCTCAGGGTGTAATTTGGCGAGTTTGACACCTGGTTCTATTAGCAACAGACATGCAAAATTTGACTCTCAATACGGACCATGAAGTGCGCAAATACAGCAGCAGCCCGCACCTGGCAAGCCCCAAGCAGGGCTGCCATGACAGCGGAGCTCTTCATATTTGCGAGGTCGTCACCTTGACAGTCTTGTTGAAGAAACAATATGAACTGTCTGAGAGGGGAGGTGCCATCTTAAGTAGTCCTTGCACTTGTTTAATTCCATGACTCAAAACAGCAATTCAAACATGCACCGATGGAGTCCACCCGGATATTGCTGCCGATATGAAGTGGACTGGCAAACCCATGTTGCTGGTGGCCGTTGCTCACCGAGGCCTCTGTTGTAAATTTGTTAATTGAAGGCATACTACTTCATGTTCCATAGTTGCAGCGGGTCTTCCGTAGTGTTGAAGGTTTGAAAAGGCGAAGGCTATGTCAAGACTATGCTCCAAACAGGCATACCCTCCGTGTTCCCGACCGAGGTAGATATAAAACAGGCAAGGAAGTAAGCTTATTGTGGGGATTTGAATGAATGCGAAAAGCAAGAAGATGCCCACCGCAGCACGCGAGATGAAGCATTCCACCGTTTAACTGGCTTCCAAGCTAATTACCACGTGTTGTAGCTATTATGCTGCTAGTAGTTAGCTGTCAGCCCTAGCCTCTAGAGAGTTTGCAGTAAATACCTAGGTAATTGCGCTCTAGTTAGCAAATTCTGGATATCTAATAGGGCGTTCTGATTTGCACTAAGTTTATACTCTGTACAAAAAACAATCTTGAAAAACAAAAAGCGATAAGACTTTACAAGCCTTATTCACTCCGACACTTTCTATCAAGAACTTGCGAAGCATACCATAAAAGTCCCAATTAGCTAGCCCTAACCCAATGCGGAAATATTTTTGTCGGCTAACGAGTCTACTAGCTTGCCATGCTGAGGCTTACTGAGGCTTGCTGTAGATGTATTTTCGACAAACTCAAAGCCTCATTAAGCCCCATTGAGGCGCCGAGGCTCACAGTTCTGTATGAATACCTCCACTTCAAACTTTTGATCTGTTTGTGCTTTGAGACCCCTGAGTCCTAACGCATGAGCATCTAATCAAATGGATCCACGTGATCACTCTTCGTGCGCCCATTGGCTGGTATATAGCACTACTAGAAGGGAGAAAAAAAAACGTGCATTAATAGAGGTCCTAGTAATACGGAGTACGGATAAGAGATGGGTGGAGGTTTTTCCGGCTCGCCCGGCTTTGAGCGAACCACCATCGCGGTTACGGACAATCGTCCCAATTCATGGGAGACGTAATGGTGTCCAGCAGTATAAAAGCTGCGCCACCGACTGTCAAACATAAATGTAGACTAAAAACACCTCTCACTTACAGCGAGAAAGAAAGGGTAGTGATTCTGGCTTTTGCTTTCCTCCTGAACTGACTGAGACGCTCACAGAGCCGCACCTGCGCTTACGTAGAGATTAGTGAGTACGTACTCAGTTCTACTCAGTGAGCAAAATCGTCTGCCTCTCTTAGCTCCGAAATACGTAACCCAGGGGAATCGCACAGGAGTTGCAGGATGTTTGCGAGACTGCGAGCTGATGATCGGTGCCTTATACTGTAATACTCCATGGCAATAAATTGCTGCGAAAGCCTAGGGCAGAATTCTATCCTGGAGAGATTTCTTGCCTGGGAGTGAGTGTCTACCCAGGAGCAAACTTCCGCCACGGAGTGAATCTCTGCCAGGGAGTCCATTTCTGCCTGGGAGTAAGTGTCTGCCCAGGAGCAAATTCCCGCCAAGGAGTGAATCCCCGCTAGGGAGTTCATTTCTGCCTGCTATACCCGTCGTGCCAATCCCCTAAGGGTTTATTACTTTATGCGGGTTTACCATAGTGTTTTCCCTGCCTCAGAATACTTCCCGCTGAAGAAAGACCTATCCCAAGCGACGTCTTGCCCAAGAGATCTTTCTCGTACGAGATCCATGAGGACCAAGGGCATGTTGCGTGAGAGAAATCCTGCGCAAGGGGGTTAAGGTGCAAGATATATCTCTCGCACGATAGATATAGCTCAAGAAAAAAGCATCATCGAAGTCAATTTTCTCAAGACTTATTTGACGTAAGCTTGCACTGAAAGTCACATTAAATCATCTGGCCAAAGCGTAGTCCAGTTTGGCCTCGCTGGGTACATTTTTGGTGCGCGTGGAACCAACAATGGACCCTGCTGAACTGAATCTATCTAAAGAGCAGAATAACGAGACTCAGTTGCACCTGCGTCTACCTGCTCTGCGTTTGCCTATATACAATGCTGCTCTTATGTCCAACCAGCTTAACTTATTGTTCTACCAGATTAGGATAGCAGTCTATGCAAGATTTGATAGGTTGCGTGCATTGAGGGTAAGGATATCTGAAGAGTAAAAGTTAGGACTTGATGTATTCTATATATTATTAATATAATAGATGGCTATAGCCTAGTATCTTTCAGTCCTACTTAAAAATGTTATTAGAGCAGCATAAACATTTTAGAATATCTTTTTTCTTTTGTCCCTCGATCTGTTGCTAAAAAGCTTCATTTTATAGATTTAATATATACACTTACACTTTATATTGTTTTTTGCTTCTCTTAATATAGCTGAGTCTCTCCTTTAACTAGTGATTCTTTTTCTTTAATTGACCAAATTGCTAATTGATTATGTCTAGCTGATAGGGAATGTCTCTAAAATATTAATCCTATTAACTATAAGAATCCAGCTTATAGTTGATGTAAGATATTACTCACTATAATAATAGTAAAATCTTTGGAAGTCTCCTCGCGCCTTTATTTACATAGATCTGGTGATTGTCAGAGAATCAGAACGTCACAGCCATGTCAGAGAATCAGAATGTTACAGCCAATGGATAAGGGAAACTAATGCATGATGGAATAAAGAATTATCTATAACTGCTAGGATTAGAATAATAGAGCTAATAAAGCTATAGCTATATTAACTATATCTATAAAAATAAAGTAAACAGAGTAATAGCTATATTAGTTATAATAAAGGAAAGTTATAAAAGGATATTTATTTATTCTATATTTAATTTTCTTCTATCCTCTTAAATTAACTATAATAATTTAAGTATATAATTTTCTATTAATTAAAATATTTAAGAATTTTATTCTTATTTTTTTTATTTAATTAGACCTTTTAATCTTAAAAGTCTATTAACTTTACCTGTTAATAGCTATCCTAGTTATACTTAATAATAATCTAACTAAAGTTTCTAATAATTTAAAATTCTTAGTTAAAAGAAAAGTCTTAAGAATAAATAATAATAATATTTTAAACTCTAATTTTAGTGATTCTAAGTCCTAATTTATAAATTATTAATATTAGTAGTGAAAATACTATAATTATTAATAATAAGAATATAGCAGCACTATTAAAATATATTAATAATTTAGAAAAAGGTATAATTAATAATAAAGAAAGATTAAGTTATATATTTTAAAAAGTTAAGATTAAAATAGTAATTTTATTTAAAAAAGAATGTAGAATCCTTAAGATATATCTTACTTAAATATAACTCTATTTTATATATAATAGTAAATAGATTATAAATAAGTCTAATAAAATATTAATAGTATTAAATTTTCTTAATAAAAAAGCTATAAAGTAGTTTATTTTATATATTACTAACTAGTACTAAATTAATAGCAATAAAAAATAAAGAAACCTTGAAATAATTATAATGTTTTCTAGTTATTGATACTATAAAGAAAAATTTAATTAGTTATAGAAAATTATTAATGAAGAAATTAAAGCTATTAATAAGATTTAATATATTAGATAATAAATCTTAGTTAAAGAATATATTTTAAAATTCTTATAGATATTAAAAGGACTTTTATAGAATAATTAAAGATTTAGAGACTAGTTCTATAAAGAACTAAAAAATAATATTAAAAATTAAATCTTAATAATAATATTATAACTAGAAATATTTTAAGTAATAATGAAGATAGTATTATAGATTAATTTAATTATCTATATTAGATAAATAGAAAAGGGAGAATTTAGAAGGAATAAAGTAAATTTATATTAGAAATAAATTAAGAATAAAGATAGAGATATAATAATATAATTAAATATAACCTTATCTAAAAAAGAGAAAGATAAATTAAGAAAGAATAAAATTTATTTTAATTATAGAAAGTTAAATTATTTTATAAATTAATGTTAAAAGTTAAAAAAAAATTAAAAACTAGTTATTTTAAATTTAAAAGAGCAGATTGCAATTATAATTTTACTAATTTTAGTTAATATTAATAAAACTAATAAAATAGCTAATAATAAGATCAATTCTAATAAAGATTTAAAATAATTAGTTAAAGATGAAGAATAATAACTAGAATAAATAATAAATTATAAAAGAATCTAAGTAGAATGGATAAGATAAATAAATAAAGAAAATATATTAATATAATTAAAAAGAATATTTAATAGTTTAAGTAAAAACAAGATATAATATTAAAGTATATAAAAAGAAAAGCGAGAAAGATTTAGTTTTAAAAGAAATATTAAATAAATAAAATAAGTAAGTACTAATATAAGAATAGAATGCTAATCTTATAATTATAAGAAATAAATTAATTAGATAAGCTATACTTATAAATTATCTAGAAAAGAAGATTATCCTAGTAAAAAAGAGATAAAAAAAGAATTTAATATAAAAGATATTAAAAAAGATTTCTTTTTAAAAGAGTTACTTTATATTTAATTAATATTATAGAATAATAAATTAAAAATAATAATCTATAAAAATCTATATTAAGAATATATAAAAAACCCTATTAAGAATAAAATGAGAATAGAAATATAAGAAAATATTATAAATTTTTAAAGAGATAACTTATATAATTATATATCTACTAATATAATCTACTAAAAAGAATCTTAATAGAAATAAAAAAATTATATTAGAGAATATAAGAAATATAATAAATAAATATATTATATATGTTAAAAGTATAAATAAATATATCTATCTCTAGCAGTAATATATAAATATATTTTATATAAAAAAGAAATATGCTTTTATAATAAATAAAATAGATATATAAGGAATTATTCTTATTATTACTATCTATTTACTAAAGGAA